ATATATATTTCTAACAAGTTAATACAAATAAAGTATGAATGTACAAAACATTGAATACCACATTTAATACTAAAACAGGTGATATTTATGTGATGTCAGTTTTTTATTAGTTTACATTTCAAGAAATCCACCTAGACCTAAGCATCTTTCATCAACTGTCTGAATTTCCAAATGTCTATCAAACATTTTAAAGTTTACGTCCATCAAATTCAACTTGTCATTGTAGATATTGTCCCAAAGATGTGTACGCGTGTATTTTTTTAATCGAACGCGATTTGTTATTTCCAAATAATGTAGGCCTACGTCTTTCTTTTAGTGTTGCTTACAAAATTACAGTGTTAACGCGTTCACGACTACATGTATTGATAACTAGGCCTATGTCACAAACACGTAAACAATCAATTGAATTAGCGATATTATGAGAGCAAGAAGATACTTATATCAAGACACATCAACTTCAATAGTATCACAATGATATAGATGTGTCAAACAAACTTTACATACAAACCCTTAAGTCTGAGGAAATCTACAATATTCCAGAAGGAATTCTGAGATGATCATGTGTCGTTAGTGTTATTCTAGACCTGATCAATTTGTTTAGCACGAAAAACACATTTTCTGTCCATCATCAGCTGGCTAAAATCGTTGATCAGTGCGTGTTAGCCTCAGAACTATAAAAATTATGTCCGTCAAATGTCCGCAGAAAGTACGATGTGTCACCATCAATTACGGGCATCTTAATGTTTTTGCTGTCAGCTGAGACCAGTTCATTGAATCATTGTCCCCTCCTTTTTTCAATTTTCAATTTTTATTTTATTTTGTTTCTTTCGTTCATATTGTAGGCATACGGTTACCATACATGTGTCTTACTAATTTTTTTTTTTCTAAAACTAAAGATTCAGCGATCGATGGCACACCATTGGTCAGTAACGGTATCATCAGTACAGTATTGGTTTATTAAGAAAAAGAAATTATTCAAAAGCGTTGAAAGAGATCCCTACAAAAAATGTTTTATAAGCTTGTGTTTTCTAGTGATTTAACACAAAAAAAATATTATCTTTCTGAAAATTAGAGAAACACCCTAAAAACACAAGTTTAACAACATGTTTACTCAGTTTAGTTCACAGTACCAGAATTAGAAAAATGAAGAATAAATAGTAGAAAAAGGAAACATAATTTACTTTGATAGTTA